AAAACAGCCTGGAGTGCTAATTACCTTCGCCACTATGCTCATGTATCATTTTACTATCGACAATTTGTAAGAAATACAACAAAATTTTCCATTCTACTTCAGCTGGAAATTTCACTTGAAGATAATACTAGCAAAATAGTTGTTTGCTTTGATCCGTGGGTAACGAACAACATTGATTCTTAAATTAGTTTAGAAATCTTCATCGCGAGTCTCACTCGTCATTGTACGACAAAGGGTTGAACCGTTGGAAAGCTTGATTCCGAATGATCAGCGAACGATAGGCAAATTATTCATCGATCCAGTGGATACCAAGAAACCGAGTTTCGTTCGTTACTCTCGTGCTGGAAACTCCGAAGTCCTGGGAGCAGAGCGAAGACGAGGCCGACTCGTTCGCGCGAAGTCCCCCGAAACGAAAAGCGGAGCGGACAGTTATGCAAATCGACCGGGGTACGTGTACGAAAAGTGCATAACCACGGCTGCGTTTCGGACCGGGGTCCTCCGGGAAATTGGCGAGAATCGAGGAAAGTGAGCCCCGTGGGCGCAACCCGAGGAACTGGCGCGTTCCTCGCGGACGGGCCTCTGATATTCGAGCGGATGAGATCGATAACCGACACTCTTGCAATCTCGACGAACGCTAACGACGAGGGATTCGAAATTCATTTCAAAGTTCCCTTAAAACTGCGCCTTTGAATTTTTCGTATCGTTTTCACTGCCGAGTTTCTGGATGTACATCGGAATTTTCTATTCGACGTATGGAAATTGAAATTATCTCTGAATTCTAATGTAGTAACAGTTGATAGTCATTAATAATTGTTGACAGTATAGTAATAGTTTCCTAGTTTCTACTTGGCACGTAACAATTGAAATTATTCTCCAATTTTGATACAGTAACACTTGATAATACTCAATAATAATAATAATAATTGTTAAGGAAACTATAGTAACAGTTTACTAGTTTCTATCTAAAAATTCCCATCTCTTCCAACAAACTGATTAACCTACGTAATTTAAAACTCTACTATGAATCTACTCCATGCACAACATAATTTACTATCGAAGAAAACCTTCAGTAGATCGTAACACATTGAACGCCGGCTAAATATCAACTACTAAAAACGCAAGCGTCGGTGATTATATTGATACGTTTTTAAACATCGATTACACCAAAATTTCTAACTTATGGAAGAGAATAAGGAATTCGATTTTGTAAATTTTACCTTGGATTGGTGTTATACATATCTAAAATGTAACATGAACGTAGGCGCTCAATGTGTTAATATCTACAGATTTATAGGAGGACTATGAGGTTTTACAAAATCGTGGTTAAATCGAATGGAATTAACGGTGCTCGATAGCTTGTCGCGGGGAAACGGCGAGGTTTCAACGCCCTGTGTCCACAACAGATTTCCGGGGGACGTAAGGATCCAATCGGCCCAGGATTCCACGGGACTTCGCGTCCTGGTGGGATTCCGACCACGTACCAATTCACTGCGGAGATTTCTCCCGATATCAAATCGCGTTATAAAGTCGGCTATCTCTCCCTCGTTTGCGATCACGCGGCCAAACGCGCGCCGGGACAATGTCACTGGAAGCAGTTCCCGGTCCCGGGAATCGTACACATTGTAATTCTCTGTTCCCGAACCTCTAATTTCAATCAGTATGAGCGAACACGTACGTAGTTTTGTGGGAACAATGGAATAAACTGTGGAACAAATGTGCGTGAATCTACTGTTGGAAGTAATCTAGCAAAATACTACTCAATATTATGCCAATTCATCCTCAATTAGGAACTGTGCGAATTTTCTGCGCTAATTTCAATCAATATGAGCAAAGATGTACTTAGTTTTGTGGGAACAATGGAATAAATGTGCGTGAATCTACTGTTGGAAGTAATGTAGCAAGATACTACTCAATATTATGCCAATTAATCTTAAATTAGGAACTGTGCGAATTTTCTGTAGAAACAACTTGTTCAGTTGTGCGAATGTAGCTCGTCGCGAAAAACTCACAAGTGTCTTCTTATGAATATTTATTATAAAATTTCCTAACGAGACAGACACTTTCTGAAGTTAACTCAAAGAGAAGCAACTAGAGGAACGTTTTATTCTAATATTTCATACTGCACACCACAAACTTGAATATCAGTACTAAAACTACCAAGTGTAATTGACTTTCCCAAATTCCTTTATAGAAACTAGAGCGCACATAATTCCGGGAGTATAGTTGTCTCGTTTAAGTTGTTCCAAGAAAACGCGTGATTTCGTTCAAATCGATCCGCAGAGGTAGACATACAAGAAATACCGGTAAACCTAGTGTTAATCTCGATGTAACACTATTCAATATTTATCATCAACATCGCCGAGCAAAAAAGAAGACTCACAGGGAACATGCGAAAGGAAGGAACACGCCGATTGGACTGTTTTTTTGCGAGGCCGGCCTGAAAAGAGCCGAGAGCGTGTAAGCTTCTTTTAAGACGCGCGAGAAGAGAGTTGTACCGCGCGAACGATCGTCATGGAATTACTGGACGGAGTGGTGTTAAATGGCGGGCGAATGGGTTTAAGCGCAATTTATACGCAACATTGTAGTTAAGAGAGGATTTTATAGGAGCAATTTGAACCGAGCGGATGCTCGATCGAGAATGAAAACGTTTCCGTTGACCGCAAACGCGTAATTACGCAGCCCGCGACTGGCTTTCGGTTCCTACTAACCGGTATTGTAATTTGCAATCGATCTTATTTTACGTGGAATCCGCTCGCCTTTACGCCCTTTCGGAATCCGCTCGACCGGACCTTGAAATTCGCTCTCCGCTGACGATCGTCGGGGAATTTCGGCGCGCGGAACGATTCCAACGAGAACCATTCGGTCCACGGACGATCGAGATTGTCTCTCGCGCCATGGAAAATTAGAAACGATTCGTCTGAACGCTACAATTACCGAGCAATTAGAGTTATTTGCAATTTTTTCATGAAAATTCCAAGTTTCTTGAGATTCGAAGGTTCCTAGGCTAGTAACCGTGCAGATCTAATTAGAAATCCTTCACAGAAACGCATTTATCGTTTAAATAATCGCAAACTGAACATTCTAATAGTAATAAAAATAATATACAATAATATAATATAATATATAGTAATATATACTACGAAAGTCTTGCTCTAAACGGTTGAAGCTTCCCGAAATCACCGAACAATTAACACGAAACCAATCATTAACGATTCCTGTTACATTCAGAGCTACAGATACGCCTGCACAGAATTCCGCTGAATAAAATACTCGATTGTTACGAAACACTGCAAGTTTACAAAGTTTAGTACGAAGTTTAATATTCAAACACCTGCGTTCAAGGTAGAACTGGATCTTCGCGACTCGAAGTCCCGGGAATAAAGTTTATTCGGCCCGTAAGTTCCGCTTACTTCTCTGCCGTATAAAATAATATTTTATTAAATATAAAATTCCTATAACCCCGTGACCCGTCACCGTGGAATATCCTCCACTGACTAAGCGCAAAAGTTTAGCCACTCAAACAAACTTAACCTAATGTATTCGAATTTAACGGAATACAAATATGAATTCGCTCGGGACGTTCGCGAATGAAATCTCGAAGGACCGCGAGGACGCGACAATCTGAAAAGCGACCGGCAAAGAAAGGATAAGAGCGGTTGAAAAGGAGACAGGAAGGATCCTTGCTCGAATTAAAAAGATTTGTCCGCGCCGCGTCAAAAGAGGTAATTACTTATCGGAAGAGAGAGAGAGAGAGAGAGAGAGAGAGAGAGCGGGATCGGCTCTTTTTCCGAATTATTCCCTCCTCCGCTCGTTCCCGCCGAAAGTATCGGTAAATTACTCCAGTCTCACAACGCCGGCGATTTCCCTTTGTCCCCGCTCCCTTTTTATCACTCTCTTCGGTTTCACGGGCTCGCGCGTACACCCCCGGAATCTTTATTAAAATGCACGGAGGCTTGAAGGCCGCCCTCTCGACCTCTTTGCGGCCTTTTCCGCGTCAGCCTGAATTCCGCCGGCGAGCCTCGCGCCCGCCGAAACTCATTATGCGATCTTCACCCATTCCATCAAACGATCCTGCGACCGTGATTCCCGCTGGAAGACTCGCGAGGAATCACCGATACTCCGGCGCCGGTTTCTGTGTAAACGAGCTTTGACGGGAGTACGTCTTAATCGAACGCGTGCGTTTTAGAGTTGGAAAAAAGAAACGTAATGTGGCGATCGAATCTTGTACAATTCGGAAGATTCGCGAATTAATGATTCTTTCCGACACAGGTTTCTGTGTAAACGAGCTTTGACGGGAGTACGTCTTAATCGAACGCGTGCGTTTTAGAGTTGGAGAAAGAAACGTAATGTGGCGATCGAATCTTGTACAATTCGGAAGATGGAAGATTCGCGAGTTACTGATTCTTTCCGGTTTCTACGGAAACTTGGAACTTTGGAGTAATGAGGTTTCATTGTTCTAAGTATCTAATAACGACAATACAATTTTGCGCTATATTTGCTCAACGCTTCAACCCTTCCCGTTGAAAACAATTCGCAATGACCATTCGTGGACTCAAGTAGACGAAATGGTAATCAATTAAAGAGAAAAACGAATCTCAATCTCTAATTAACCCCTTGCCCTACAACGAGTTAGACTCGAGGTAAAGATTTTCGACATGATGCGACAAATATATGTATTACTCAGTTAATTTGAATTCAAAGTGAATATTATTCCTCTGTAATCAATTATTACACTTAAAAGGAAATATAGGCATAACATATGCTCAGAATTTTTCTCTTTTTCTAAGAAATTATTAATGATAAAGTAGCCGTATCAGAGTTGAGAAAGAAGTCATAGGCCAAGGGGTTAATTAATCGTCACGTCTCGATCAATTGTACCAAACAGACGTGTTTCTCCACTATCTCAGTTAAATCGAAAGAGATTCGTTATTCCGTTATAGAAGCAGCCCTTCCGCAGAAACAGAAACCACGTAAAACATTTGTAAAAAGCGACTACGTACCTTGCGGAGGAAACGTCTCCCCGAAGAACTGTTTCCGATCGCCGCCGTTCGCTTGTTAGAATAATTCTCCGGTCGGATAAAGTATCCGCAGCGTTTCTAAAAGTCAAAAGCGTTGCTCATCCTCGGGTAGCTCTCTCGTTATCGAACTGGGGCCGCGTAATTCCCATGCGGACGATCCTATTCTTACCGGCTCGAACCTTCCAGCGGCCATTTTGTCGGCTCCACGTCGAACGAGACGCGTCCCTTCGATTTTTCTTCCGGTAGCACCATCTCGTGAATTATACGCGCGAGCGAAGTGGCACGTTTCTCGCTGCGGCGATAATGAGAACCGATCTCAGGGAAAAATCAAAAATTCACGCGGATATCGGCACTCGAAACTCACACCGCTGGGAATAATTCGTCGCGACGGAGATCCGGGCGAGACTGACGCCCGAGGTCGCGGAAGGTTCGTCATCTACGCGTGTTGTTGAAGCGCGGCCCACTGAGCTCGAAGCGAAAGGTCTTTTCTGTTTACTCGATCGAGCAGAATTCACATTGAAGGGACTAATGTTTTCCTTAATTCGGTCGTCGCTTTAATCCCTCGCTCTACGATTCCTTCAACTTCGAGCGATACTTTGCTATGAATATTTCTTAGGAGGGAAATATTACGAGCATATTCTATATGTTTGCTAAGTATAATGATTGATTATAGAATAACACTTCGAATCCGAATGAATCGAGTAATTGACTCGTATTGCCAATCTTCGTCTGACATGATAGAAGACAAGGGATCGATAGTGGAATTTGTTAACATGAAATGCATTTTAAACCGAGTAGCTTCAACACTAGAACTACCAAGAGTTTAATACGATTGGTATGCAATCCCTATAAAAACTGTAACAATAGATTATTTCCGGTTTCTTCAGACATTCGTTATAGTACTCAAGTGAAACTATTTTCAAAATCATTTGGAATATTCAATGCTTTGAAATCAATAACAGCGAAACAAGAAAACGGGAACCAGTCATTTTGACTGTTACGGTAGTTCTAGTGTTAATAGAGTTACTTGGTGTCCAGTCTCAAATTATTACAGAAACATGATAGTTAAACAGCAATGTTTCGCCATAAATTCCTCTGACACTAAAACTATCGTAACAGTCAAAATGACTGGTCTCGATTTGAATATTCCAAATGATCTCTAGTATTAAGTAGAACCGATGCTAGGTTACTGGACTTTAACCTCTTGCGCCGGAAAGACGCGAGTCGAGAGATGTTCACAAAAAATCTCGAAGCTACAAATTCAGAAATCATTGTCGTTCCTTCGATGTTCGATCGACAGCTTGTGTTAACGAAGAGAATCCATCGCCACGCGCGTTCCCGGCGCAGCCATCGCCTCCGCGCGATGCACACGCGCTTAAATATTTGCCGAGCGGTTTATTGCGACTCCGCCGATGAGGGAACACGCTCGCGGGAGTTGTTTCACAAGCGTAAACACGCGACAGCCGGCATTTCCACGCCTCTCGATTTCCTTCTCCCTAATTCTCGGCTTGGATCAACCGTTCCCCCGTTCGCTGCGTTTACGGGCTGCCCTAAAGCGGTTTACACGAAAATAGGGCTCAAGCCGCCGTGAAAACGACGCCAGACAGACTCAGCTCGCCGGACAAAGCGTTTCCGAGTTCGCTGGCGTGTTCCAGCGCGAGACCCACCCTCTTCTTAGCTACCCCGCCGTTGCATCCCTGTTTCCATGGCGCCCGGAGCACGATCGCCTTTTCTTGACACTCGCACGCTGCTCTTTCGCGCCGGATTCCTAGGGAAATTCTGCGGAACGCCTGTTTTGTCCTGCAAAGAAAGAAGCTGGTCGCGCGCGTTGGAACTGCGATTCTTGGACAATGCTGTCTCCAATCTCAGCAACCCCGAAGCTAGCTGCAGGTCTGGCAGCTGAAATTCGAGGGAATTAAGAAATAGCTTGACGTTGATTGCTAATGCATTGGAATGATTGTTAGGTTGAGCTCTTATCACTGCTACACTTGTGTGATAGAATTGAGATTCCTGGACGACAGTGTCGAATCTTAGCAACCCCAAAGCTAGCAGGTCTGGGTAACTGAGGAAACTAAGAACCAGTTGATCAATAATGCATCGCAACGATCGTTAGGTTGATGTCCTATCAGTGCTAAACTCGAAGAAGCTTATAGCACTAAACTCGATTTTCCGTTGCATCAATGTCTAGACGACATAATATCGCGAAATAATGAAGCGTTAGCAATAAAGCTTAGAAGTTTTATTTCTCGAGCTGAAGAGGAAGCTTCAAGACCCAGTTTCCCAGCCTCCTCCGGTAGACAGGACCTAGGACTCGCCTCGAAAGTCTGGAAATCTCGCGGAAGAAAAAGTCGGCTCGATTTTAATTCCGACCGGAAACGAAACCCTCTTCAGCCCCGTTCTCCTCTTCCCGATCCACCACTCTACCGTTCTCTATCGATGCACGCGCGGTAATCGTACCGTGGAACAAGATTCTGCCGGCACTCGACGCCACCCTGGCCTTTTATGCTCATTCCGCCATATACGCCGAGAAATATTTACCGTTTCCCAATAATGCTCTACCCGGCTCGCCTTTCTTCCCGCCTCGCTTCTCCGCCGGTCTCAATATGTCGGGCTTAATATTCATTCGACCGTTTTAGAGGCACCAGGTATCTTCGACGGTTTTATACGATCGAGGGACCGAATTTCTTCGGAATGTATCGTCCCCAGAACCGTCGCCCTCTGTATGTTTCCTACTTTTTTCGGTATTTCGCGTGAGTACCTTAGATCCTCGAATTCCTAATTCTTCGGGGATATCGTGTGATCCTATTCTGCAAGGACGGTCGCCGTACGAAAGTCTGATGTCTACAAAATGACAACAGTCCTCAAACTGTTAGAACGAAAATACCAACGAGAATTCAATGATGTCTTCGCAACCTTATATTTTAATCACGAAAGTCTCATGTCTCCAAAATGACAACAGTGCTCAAACTGTTAGAACGAAAATATTGGAGAATTCAATAATGTCTTCGCAACCTTACATTTTAACACGTTCACGCCGGCGTGTACCACCGGTGGCTCACACTAAGATATCACATTAGACAGTGTGTACCATTGATGGCTCATTAGACGGTGCGTAGCATCAAATATGTGACTCGTCGAATGGTTTGGTAATTAGAAAACATTGCCACACAGTTGAGAATTAATTTACTTATTGATCATTTCAATATTTTTATCAATCTTGAGAATTCAGTCGCCAAATGGGAAATGGGTCCAAAATGACAACAGTTCTCAAACTGTTAAAAATCTCCAACTTCAAAACTCCAACTCAATTTCCAACCACGAAACTCCCATGTTCCTAAAACGAGGACAGTCCTCGAGAATCACAGTCCTTAACCCTTTCGGCCATGGCGTCCTCGTATAAGGACATACTTATAGTTAACACAGTTGTGATGACACAATCACCAAGATTGCTAAGAGTCCACTCAAAAGTGTCTTCAGTTTCATTCTGCGATAGCACAATTTGACAAGAGAACTCGACACCATTATCAAATAGAATCTACTTGTGATAACACAAGGACAACCTTTACAAACAATCAAATTCACCTGCTTTAGATTCCTTCCACAAATACACCACGACCAAAAGGGTTAAACCAGAAACATAGAGAAATTCCAAAACTGGCAAAAACACCAAAAGCCCCATACTCAGCTTCCTCGTTCCCAGTTTCCTATGGAAACCACGGATTCCACGGTGCGAGGAGCATACCCGGTGTCTCAGAAGTAACCTTCCCCGCAGCGCGTGCGAGTGTACTATCGATTATCCGGCCGGACGTTAACGAGCGGCGATCTCTCTTTCGTTAGCGGGCCGGCTCGTACTTCTCCCGGCTTCCCTGCCAGCGTTGCGTAAATCTTGCGGCCCCGACCCCGTGGAACCCGGGAGTAACACCTCTCGCTCGTAGGTCGAAGCGCCGGCCATAAATTTTTGAGAGTTCGAAGCGATCCTGCCCACCCGGGACGAGAGAGGATCCCGCTCGCCCTCCCCCCTTCCGGCCGCTCGAGCGTCTTCGCAGACTCTCCCGGGTGTCCCTTATCCCCTAACCCTTCCGTGTCCTTCTCCTCTCGGACCTCTAGCCTCCTCTCTGCCCACGAGCGACACGCGCCCAGTCTGGACCCACGCCCACGCGTCGCATACCGTACGCCCTTCGACGACTTTTCTGCGGCGATTCTTTTTCGCGAGCGTCTCTCTGGTAATATTGTGGATATTCGGTAATTTACCGCGGCTTCGTTAGCCCCTCGCGGCAAAGTGGAGGAGTCGGTAACGAGATTAGCGGGTTATCGGAGATAATTGCGAATAGAGTTATTAAAGTGGTCGGAGTTGGGGGTTCTTGGTTTGTTTTCGTTTCATCGCTCTTATTTTAATAGTTAACCCCTTGTACAACGAGTTAGACTCGAGGTGAAGATTTTCAATATGATGCGACAAATATATGTATTAGTCAGTTCATTCGAAATCAAAGTGAATGTTATTCCTCTGTAATCGAGTATTATACTTAAAAGGAAATGTAGGAATAATATATGTTTAGAATTTGTCTGTTTTTCCAATGAATTATTAATGACAAAGTAGCCGTATCGACAGAGTTGAGAAATATATCATAGGCCAAGGGGTTAACTGTGTTTGACATGATACTAATTCTTTCAGCGATGAATTCTTTAGTTTTTCACATAAACATGTAATTCTTCTTTGTTTCGCTTTGATCTTTCATTAAAATATACTCTACGTGCGTTCGATGAGTACACGTTCGAGTTTTTTATTTTATTGCGCGAACGAGAAGGTTTTTCCAACTAAATTCCACAGTTAACTGGTTAATCTACCGACTCTTTTATCAATTCTTAATATTAATGAATCGTATTAAGCCTTTGTGCTAAGTTTTAGCTTCAATTATGGACTGAGGAAAAATTGTGTAGTAAACTTTTAAACGTTTGAGAGGCAAGCGTGATCGCACTTCTAAACGATATTCCAAAAAACAGCTAGGAAAGTAGCAATTTACAGGGTTGAACCAAGCCTAATACTATATAAACCAGAAATTCTAAACGACATTTCAAAAATCATCTACGAAAGTAGCAATCTAAAGGATTCAACAAAGCCTAATTCAATATAAACGAGAAATTCCAAACGATATTCCAGAAAACACTAATGAAATCACCAATCTAAAGGACTCAACCAAGCCTAATTCAATATAAACGAGAAATTCCAAACGATATTCCAGAAAACACTAATGAAATCACCAATC